GGACAAGTTTCATCTCACTTACACAGAGAGTATTTTTCACAATTGTTACAAACATTAAATCTGATTTCTTCTCTATTAATTTTATCAGATGATTTTCCATTCCTATTTCCTTACCTTTTTTGCCTGGCAATATTCCTTTTCCATCACTTTTCCTAGCACCCAAGGTCTTCTAGATGCACCTGAAGCTAAAGACACAATATATTTTGGATAATCAACTACAGGTAACAGGATATTACGTTCAATATGGTTAAAGATTATTTGCTAAAGTGATTTCATTGAAAGCAGAAGTTCTTCAAAAAAAACTTTTTTTTAATAAATTAACAAAAATTAAATAAGATCAGATGTCAAGACAGGTCACTGGCATTTTCAAACAAAAAACCTGATTTTTCAATTTAAATTTTGTTTTAAAAGTTAACATTAGAGAAGACAAAAGCAAATCAAAACTGAAATTCATTTAATGATTCAAAATTATTCTAGTCAACCCAGCCCGACCTTTTGGTCTGATTTAAGGTGAGAATTTCTTGAAGTATTTCAAGGGATATAAAGTCATCTGTACTCTGCTATTATTATTGCCCTTACTGAAACATTTGATTATTTTTCTGTATTAGTGATGGAAATTAGTTACTCATAAATAATAATTTTAAAGCCCTGCAAGTCTGCTAGTTTTGGTTGCAGTCTTTGAGAATACCCGATACTGTTCAGAAAGGAGAAAAGTGAAAAACCTCAATAATAAACTGACAGGACAAAAGAGCAACAAAGGGGCATTAATACACTTTCATCTTGTATCCTGTTCTGTAACAGTAAGGAAACGCATATTTGCCTTGTATTCCAAGAAAGTATATCCATTTTACTTGCTTTGGTCTTTTCTAACTATCACTAATCATGGCACGAAGAAAATCATCAAAACAGACAGAAGGAACATCTCATGTGCTCTGCATAATACTAAAAATCAATGCTTTTCTAAGTGTGACTATTTATGAGATACTGTACCTAGTGACTAGAACATGAGTCACTCAAGAACCAGAGTTTGAAATCTTAATCTTACCCTTCAGGATTAATTTGACTATTGATAATGGAGCAGATTCTGTTCTACTCCACACTCCTACAAATCAGTGCAAAGTATTCATATCTGGCCTGAACGCTCTACAACTAACTTAAGTTTTTTGGAATTTGCTTGACTGACAGACTTCATTGATCTAACAAAGATAGTGAGAAAGATGCAGGGTTTTTTTTCCTTACATTTGCAAATGAAAACTTCCATATCCTGAAGATAAGGGACAACACAGAAACCATGCAGTCCTCAACCAGTTTCAGTGTTGTCACAGCATTCTAAGTGCTCTTAATGTAGGTAGAGACAACCTACAATAGCCTAAATCCCTGACACTTAACCCTGTAGGAGGATCTATACAAGATTATTAACTTGATGTGTACATGTTGGAACAAAAGGCCAGATTTAGATGCAACATTTTGGCAGCCCTTAAAACAATAATTTGTAGCACCTAGGTCCACACCAATTCTAATCTATCACAAACAATACTAGTGTTCTGGGTTTCATCTTCCCCACTTCCCTGATGCAGAAATAGAATCAAGACATGGTTTCCTGAAGTACTGAGCTAGAGACAAATGTGTTCCTAAAGCAAATGGTAAGTCTTCGTGTTTGTTTTATGTGCAGTTTTCTCAAATTTGAGACTAACTCTGGTTAGCAAGTGGTAAGGAATGAAGCAAGTTAAGTCCATTTGAAAACAGACAGGTCAGTGAATCGTGTACCCAGAGTAATATACAAACTGACATGTCTTTTACCCTATATATGTAAACCAACAGTAAGAAAATAAATCATATATCACATAGTTATGTATGCACTACTAATGCCATAGTTCAGAATGTATTATGTCTGTAAGTAAGATAGGAGTTCTTCCCATATGTTTCACGGAACACATATGGGACAGATTCTTCAGCAGTCTCAGAACGCAGTTAGAGCTTGATGGCCTTCTGGAGACTACACAATTATTTCAGAGCTATCATCTTTCATCATAACTGAAATCTACAATGTGTCTGCTCATTGAGAGTAAGTTGACAGCTTCTGACATGCAATAACATACAGAAACTTTTACTGATAAATTAGAATTAATACAAAATGTTCTTGGACACTTCTACAGCAAAGTTGGGAGCAGGGGTGGGTTTGCAAAAAATACTAAGTATGATAGTTTAAAAGACGTTTACATGAATCTAATGTAGCACATAGTTTAGCGCAAAGCATTGTTATTTTTCCTCATTTAAAAAAGATTAATACTTCAATTTAACTGAATTTACATAGCTGCCAAAAATAGCCAACAAATAACGTGAAGATTAAGGGAGGAAAAAAGGAAACGTGCCATGACCCTGAACATATGCAAAACATACAGAAACTGTTCTCTTATGAGCCCTGCTAAACACCATTTAAATTGGGTAGAAAAACTTTATCAGCAAAAACATTGCTTGCAAATCCCCATCTACTGTGGTCTACATTTTGTTATTTCAGACGTGTATTTGGGTTCATAAATTCCAGTCACTTTGAGAAGATGAGCTACAGAGAGAACAAATTTCATCCAAAGACAATCTTCAAAGAACATCATAAAATCAGGTATTAAAAAATAAGAACAGAGCATGCAGTTTTGACAAAGTGTTACCTTTAGTTTTGTTTTTACTTTCCTCATCAAAAAAGACATTGAAAACATAAATCCACATAACAATAGGCCTGAGACCTACACAATTATATATTATTATTCATGCTACTGAATAGCTAAGCAGCCTGATGGGAATATTTTCCCCATAGACATGTTAACATACTCTCTGTGTGTACAAAATTAGCACTTTCTCTCTCTCTCTTTTTTTTTTTTACAGCTTTGAAGACGCAGATATTTTTCCCTATTTTTCCAAGATATTAACATCTACATAAATTTTTGATTTAAAATGTTCTGCCTTGAAAAATGTTTAGCATCAAAACAAATACCTGTCAGCTATCTTTGTAGCTTTTGCTATCTATATTACATGCTTCTCATATTTATCACACATATATTTATAAAGTCACTTACTAAGTGTTAGAAAGTTAAGAGTGTTATTTGTAGGAGATAATAAATGGAAGTAATCTGACACTTACCACACTCACCTGGTTTGAGATCCAGTGCAGCAAGAGATTCTGAGTGCAAGAAATACAAGGTTGGACTAACAGTAAACAATACATAGTTGTCATGCCTTTCATCCAAGATAATGAGAACCAAATCGCCAACCTGAAAACTGGGGGGAGGAAACAAAAATCAAGGAACTTAGCTAAAAAAAGCATAGAAGCTTAAAACTACATTAATTACACTTCAATTTTTTTTCCCAAATATTGCACAGACTGAGACTTAGTTGAACAGCAGCACAGACGTTTCTACTTGTTATGCCAAGTAATTAATTATATACGTTTTATATTTTCTGAAGTCAAAACACTCTACCTTTTTAAAACTGTTTTTGAAATGTTTTTCTACATCCATCAGCTCAAATTATTTTTTTCAAAAGAACTGACAGTTTTGCTTTAAAATATAGAAGTACCTAACAAAATGTTTCAATTCCATATTATTTTTATTCACCAATACTTACGGTAATTATCACTGTACCAGTGTTTACAAACACTCTTGATGTTTTAGACTTAAGTCTAATTTGAACACAGAAAAATACAGCAAAACATTTACGTAGCTATCCGATCTTAAAATTTTAAGCACACAGGATGAAGAAGGAATGATGTGTTCATCTTTGATCAAAGGGTTAAAAGCAAAAGAAACACCGTGGTGACTTTACATAAAAAGTTCCAAAAATCTGCTTCTTCCTGACACCAGGAAGACGCAAGCAGCCACCAAGTTCTCATGCCAAGTTTCAGTAACAGAATTCAGAGAATTTTTTCTGTCTCCAACTTCTGTTTCACAGTGCAAATGTGTTGGAAGTAAATTATTTACCATTAATGAAATGAAGTATAAAATAGCTACAAATTAAGCATTATACCATGAGAGGTCTCTAAGAATAAATATTACTACTACTCTGGGGCTGGGGGAGGAAGTGGCAAAGAAATGGGAAAATTCTTCTATATACAGGGAGATCGCAGACACATAGTCAGAGATAAATAGGTAGATCTAGAGAGAAATTTAGCTCATCTTCTTTAAAGTTCACTTTCAGATTAAATAAACAATACTGCAGGCTTTTCTGCCTGGACTTACTATGATGACAGACTATACTGACTTAGATAAAGACATCTCTATTGGACAGATGAATTCTTCTTTCACAGCATTTTCCTCACCAAAGACTACCAAGAGAGTTGCCAGAATACTCAGACGCTCTCAGGAAAAGCTGATTCTGCACATACTGACCTTGTTACAATAAAAATGCAATTTGGTGTAATTCAGAAAACATTAAAGGAATAATCTGTGCTGGTTTTCTTTCCATAAAGATTTTTTATATTAATTAATATCAGACTGATTAATTTCTTAAGAACAGTTGTCTGTAGCTTTCATATTTTGCAAGAATTAATACTTCTTTTTCCAGTAGCAATTCTACATGCAGTTGATTACAGATTGATAATATCCAACAAAATATTTGAGTTAATTTCATTTCATTCTGTCAAGGTAAGCCAAAAATTTTGAAGACTTCAGGAAGGTAAAACTTCTCTTGAAATATAATGGAGCACTACGCATATTCAGGGTGAACAGGATTCCTTCTACTTTTTCTTAGCATGATTTCAAGAAGGCTACAGATAAACAAAAAGTAATCTAAAAGAAAACTCTGGAAGGATTGTAGAAATCCCATGAGGTATTATCCTTATGAACCATGTAAAGGCAGGCACAGAATTCAAGAAAGCCACCAACATACAGAATTCAGGAAGGCCTTTTTTGTGTTTAGAAAAAGGGTTTAAAAAAATTGATTTATGCCCTACTGGGATGGTTCAATAAGTGACGGCTAAACTATAGAGATGACCTATATATCTTTTCACCACAGAGCAAGAACAGAAGAATTGTGACGTTAACTACATACTTATTATTGAAGGTATTTTCATCTGTTTATATGAAAATTAACATGTACTTACTCTCTAATTGCTATTTTTTCAGAATGTCTTGAGGATACTGATGACATGCTCTGGGACATCTATAAAAAAAGAGAAAAACTATAAAGTATTGGCAAGCTATGATGAAATGTACATTGCAGGTAACAATATGGTTAAGATAATTTATTATTGATCTCAAATAGTATCTATTCTTGCAGATCTTATATTCACTCAAGAAAACATCATACCTTTGTGTCATCCTGTTCTGTAGCAGGTTTGGTTGTTTTTTGTTTCTTTGTGGTTTTGGTGGTGTGTTTGGGTTTTTGTTTTGTTTTGTTTTAAATAGCTACCTTTGATTATGAAATTTTACGTAACTGACTTCTCCCTCATTATTTAAAACTGAGAAGTGCTTTCCGGATCAGTGCCAGTGAAGATCTGTTCTGAGCATACACAAGACCTACGATATAGCTGTGCACTCTAGCACAGAAGCCACTGGCATTCTAAAAAAGGCTGATGGTAAAACACTGGAGGTTAAACATATTTATTGCAATTAAACTTTGAACGTTAAACTCAATATGGTCTCTCAGTTTTACTAAGGACTGTCACATAATCTAAAGTTTACTGTAACAGACAGAGCAGCACTCCCTGGAACAAAACTGCAGTCAAATTTACTAAAACCAAACAAAGGCTTAATTGTGTAAGGTTTTGGACATAATTCCTATCTCCTATATGCATGATAACTACCTTTAAATCTGTTTAAATTAATTAATACTGGCACATGAACCAACTTCAATAGGACAAACTAGATCTAAAAATGAATATAAGTGTACATACACTTTCTACAGTAATTGCGATAATAAGAAAAGAAAATGGGTAATGCTACTTTGTATCTACAAAGGGATACATAGCCCACATACAGGCAAGTAGATAGAGAAGCTGATCTGATGTAAATGTGTACATTTCACTACCCTTTGGTAACTTCCTTACAGAAGACAATTCATAATTGCCCTGTAGAAACTCTGATTAAAGGTCTTGCAGTTTTTCCATAGGTTCCTACTTCCTGGACCATTTATACATGCTATTCAAATCTAGATTACTCATACTTGAAGTTTAGCACATGACTTTTCAGCTGTAACTCAAATATTGTTACCTACAGCGTATTTCCTACTGTCAGTCTTCCCTCCCACTTCCCTGGAAACAGTATCGGCCTGTCTTAATGTGAGCTTGAAACCTATTCACAGCTCGTTTTCTTCATTTCTTCAAAGAATGAGTCCAAACTGAATATGGTACAGCACAAAAAGCTCTCAACTTCTGATGACACTTTCAGCAGATTTCTTTATGAAGTCCAACTTCAGATCAACTTTTTTTTTTTTTTGTTAGAGACTACATTTCTTTGACTTATTCACATTGTAGTTTTCTTTCTTGAAAAAGTTGCAGCTAACATGGAAGTTGTCAAATGTGTATAATTTGCTTAGATTGTTCACTAAAGCGTTTGACAGCTCTCTTCAGCTGTTAAGACAAAAGTTTTTCTTACTGTTTTTTAGAACTGGAATAAGTGTTAAATTAAAATGCAAACTAGCTTGATTTCTGTATTTTTCATTAATTTCTAACTTTAAGAAAAACTGAACAAATTAGAATGTTAAGAATATTTCCACTAAAACTCAGTAAAGACTATTTTATGACTAGAGTTCTAATAGCCATTAAAGAGGAAAAAGGTTCCCTTTCTCAATAATTTATATAAAAAACCAAAAATCCTGTAATAACATTCCTCATATTAAAAGCAGCTCCTTTTTATCTTTTATTGCTTGCAGAGGTAACCTGCAAAAGTCAGTGACCTGAAAAGATTTTCTTTTATTGTGCAGAACCCCTTCTGGGTTCCTTATCTGAAGTAGCTGGAGAGAAATAAATATTGTTATTTAAGTTTTGACGTATATTTCTGTTTTAGAAGGGTATTGGGAAGCGGGGGGAGAAAGAAGATGAAGAGACAAGAAATAAAAAGAGTTTATTTTATCTACAAAATGACCAATTTGTAAGTAAGACATTGAAAATATATGTTCCTATGCCCATTTAAAAACCAATTTTGAATTGCTTTAGGCACCGATGAGCTGCTAATTTCTCTTACGTGGCTTAGTATTAATCATAACGACAAAGAATTTTGTATTTGTCTTGTATAACGCCGCGTTTTCTTCAATTTCATTTTACTCTGAGATGACAAGAGATCAAGAGTCTAATTCAGGAAATCTACAGAGGGGTTTGGAAGACTGTCAGTGTGTTTGAGATTTATTGTAAAAACTACACTGAAATACCTTTTGTGCACTTCACTGGCATTCTGAATAAAAAAATCCTTTTACAAAATATGCTTTTAGATATTTTGCAATCCTTTCTTTCGCCCTGCACTAGCAGGGTTATTATGGACAGGTTTTAATGTGGCATGGAAAGTGCATTTTTGGAAGCGGGGGGGGGCGGGGAGAAGCAATTTCATACCTGAATATGTAGCAGGAGTAAATTATACAGTAAATTTTAATCCTATCCCAGACAGAAAAATGGCAGCTCCTACTGGAGAAACTCAAACACTTTTGCTATGAAATGTAACTTGCAACTACACAGATACCAGTTCCTACCAAACTCCTAGATATCACCTGTCACTTAAAGAAAGTGACATCTCCATGGCCAGTCCAACCAATTAACTACCGAAGGACATGTCTATTTCCCATAAATACAGTAATTTTTTTAAGACTTAAGGTTGAGACCTGCTGGCAAGGATAAACTCTGGATAAATAAAAGGAGAAGGATTCAAGGATTCATAGCACAGGGATCAAGGGAACTCTGTCACTATATTCTTTTTCCTTCCATAGGCATTGACTATTATTTCAGTGTTTAAGACAATTGCTGTTTATACTTCCAGTTGCTAGGCGGAATTAAAGTTTTACACCTTACAAAAATGACAGGTGCAGTTTTCCAAAAACAATCTCTAAGTTATTCCTAACATTCCTAATTATGCTTAATGTGTAGGCATATTTACATTCTTCTAAACTGGCCTTCAATCTACTTGTTGTTGAAAAACATGGCGCCACTGAAATGCCACTCCCCCAACCCCAAGCCTGGATGGTCTGTGTTCTTTGGGAAGAACCCTCTTTCTCTCCAATCCTGTGAATCTTTTTCCTGAGAAGACTGCTAAGTTGAGGTACCCCTGAAAGGTTATCAGGTTACCTATCTGCCACTTGCCTTAACACTTACAACATTTTTGAAGTTAATAAAAGACATTTATAGATTTTAACAAACTTAACATTTGTAAGCTTTTCTTATTTTTTCAGGAAACTTAAAACATGCATTGCACAAATACTCACCAATCTTTGATTTAATCTCTTATTTTCCTCCTCTTTCAACTGCAAAGTCTGAAAGAAAATCTTATCTGATTAACTAATTAATACACCTTATACAGTATAAACATTTTTAAAAAAGTTTTAATATGACCAGAGCCAGACTACTTATACAGTATACCTATTTACTACAGCTTTCAGCTTTAAAACAATATCAAAACATCTTTTGAACAGATGTAAAAAAATTTGAACTCTAGCAACTACCACAGTGCTACAAAACCCAGTGCTAAGCTATGCTTATCTCCATACTTATCCTCATCCTTCTCCTTAAGTTAGAAAAACATTTCACTGCTAGAACAGCAAAAGAAATGCAATATAATTTTATAGTTTCTAAACATGACAAGTCCTTTGTAAGCAGGTGACAGAATAAAGCATGTAAGTGCTCTTAGTCAGAAACATCCAGCCACTTGCATCATACAGTGCCACAATCCATTAACAGAAAACATTCATGTTCTCTAACTGATCACAGATTTTAGTGTAAGTGATCCTAGAATGCTGAAGGCTAAAGACATTCTTTTTTTTTTTTTTTTTTTAAGGTCAACTTTGAAGAGGAAAGAAAAAGGCAACTGGAATGGAGTTAGATACAACTGGATAGTTAAAAATTACTAGAATCTGAAAGATTCCAGTGCAACTAATAAGGGTTAATCTAGCCTTTTACCAAGAATAACAACTTTTATTTAATCAAAAAGGTTCAATTACTCAGCGTACATTGAAAGCTACGCACAAAATAAAAGTTGTAACAGAAGTGAAAATTTAAGGTATATATTTGGGAGAAGCGGGCGGGCAACGTATAAACCCCCCTCTAGCCTGCAGGAGCATAAGAGTAACTTCAGAAAATTGTAATTTTTAGCACATTCATAACAAGTGTTATTTCACTTTTTACAGAAGCAGTACTGTCAAGGTTATAATGCATCCCAGGTAGAATTAAAATGATCTAAGTAGTAGCAGCTTAAGAGGAGAAATTACCCGTTTCCAAGAGAAATAGGTAAATCAATCTTAATTCCCGTCCAGCTGCTTTGGATGCCTTAATTTGAAAAAGTAGTAAAAACTTTTTTTTGCTACAGAAATTCCCTAGATCAATGACCTGTCACTCCTAAGAAGAAAAATTATACCTGACTCATTCATACTGAAGCCTACATAAACAGAATAAACAAACTTTAAGCTAGGCAAAGTGTAAGCATAATGTATTAAAACTTATTTTGAATTACTTCAACGAATTATACTGATCTGAAATGAGTACAATGAAAAACCATTCCCTGGAATGATATTTATAAGCCTTGCAGAGACTATATTGCATCAGAGTATATAACTGACCACAGCACAACATCACACATACGTATTTATAAGTACTTAGTTGTAATGCTTAACCTCACAATCTACTCACTCTTTCTAACAACATTATCCTCTGTTTTTCTTCAGACATATGGACATTTTCACTAAAAGGGAAAGAAGAAAATAGATAGGTTAAAATAATTTTTTTTCATGATCAAAAATTATCTTTCCCACCGTCCCCCCATCTTCAGCCAGTGCCATGTTATTTGCTAGCACAGAGGGAACAGCACAGAAAGATACCTTAAGAATCAGCATCGACATTTCTGGCAGAAGGTTTCTGGGGTTTGGGTTTTTTTTTTTTTTTTTCTTCTTTAAAACCAAGGAGCTACTTTGTTGCAACAAGCCAGTAAATTTTCAGTCATTGATCAGTTTATAAATTTACATGGGGCCATTTGGGCATATTTTGCATTATTTTCAATACATTAAGATAAAAGATACAGCTCCAAATGCTTTGGCAGTCAACCCTTGATATTGCGGAGCTCTACAATGTCGTATTTTCCTAATCTTTGTAGTTTAAAGGCTCTGTGCCCTAGGACTCTCTGGTAGGGAGACACTAATGTGAACTTGCTAATTGTTTTTTTATTTGTGAGATAAACTGAGCACGGGGGCATGAAAAGATAATGCTAGCATCCTAATAAGAAACACCCTAACAACACAGAGAGTAATTCCTAATACAATTAAAATATATTTTTAAAGGCAGGTTAACAGGGAAGAAACAATATATTTTGTAGTCCAAACTGACTTGGTTTGGAAAAGAAAATGGCTAAGTTTTTGGACATATAATCCATTCATCCAGTCTGAGAAAACATGCTATAAATCTAAGCAAAATGTCAAGTAGAACTTACGGATTATAATTAAGCCATGTTAATCATCACCGCATTTCAGTTAAAAGGCTGTTTAGCCCTCATGTAATAGGAAGAAGTCAACAGAAACCTGTAAGAATTTCTGCCTATTTATTACCTGACTTTTAGTCCATTCAGCCAAAATTTTTTGTCCCCAGGCTTATCTTTTTGAGTTTTTTTATAAACCTGCCTTGAGAGTTCAGGACTAGAATGAATACTGTAAGAAATAGTTCTCCTTCTAAAGACAGGGTATATCAGTGTTTTATTGATTATCAGTGCAAGTTTAGTTTGCTAAGCAACAACTGTTTTCGTCCTTGCTTCCACTAAGTTATTTAGTGCACTGGGTATATTATTCTGGGTTAGGCAGCGTCGGTTGTGATGGGCACTGATTAAAGTGAATGTAAGTATACGTAACAACCCTGCTTTTGCTTCTCTGGCAAAACCTCATTCCACTTGTGTGCTTCCCAGTCAGGTTCATTACTTCTGTGAGAGGTAAGCAGAAGCCTGGGATTGTTCAAATGGCACAAAAATGAGAAAATGCATAGGTTGCAATTGCTTAATGATCTTCCACAAAGATTCTAGGAAAAGGGGTAGCAACCAGGAGTTTACAGTTATTCTGCTTTCCTTTCAACAACAGTACAAATTTGCAAGCTGTATCAAGTGGGTGATTCAAAGATGCAGCCAATTTCTTCAGGTAAGTGTTCTTAATGAGCAAAAAGAAACCTTTAATCATATTAGGGGTATAATGAAATTAATGTGGGATTCTAAGCTTTTTTTCCATGCAAATGAATACAACAAACATTACACTGTACAGTTCTGAAGCATAAATCAGACATATATTTCGAGAAGCCTCAGAAACAAGAAGTAAGAACACACGAACTTTTGTTTTATTTAAAGTAAGATCACAAGATCTGTCTTCCCAAAACATCTCATTGTACTGAGGTAACTAGAACAAAGCAGGCTTGCTGTTCATTCAGGGTAACATGACACAGCCTGTGATATTTATCAACTTCACAAATGAGAAATTCTATGGGAGGATTAGGAGAAGGGAGGAAATCTGACAACTAATACTTCAGTTATGATTGCAAAGCCTATTAAAAAACTACTGCAGGTGTAAAAGCATAAAAGAAAACATTCCATGTGACTGTTAATATTTAGAAGTGCCTTCCAGTTCAAATCCAAATTTCCTTAGACATGGCAGAAAAGGATCTTAAAATGAGTATTCTTAGTATAAAAGAATTGAAGAACTGCAATCTTCCATCACGAGGAGGTAGAAAGTGTTAGCATGAAGAACAATTCTCATTAATTAGTAAAACATACTAAATGTTGACTATTTCAGTTTTCTTAGGCTGCTATAGCAGAAACATACTCATACTGTAGATTTTCAAAATTTTTTAGTTTTCCCCAGTTTCTATATGGAGTTAAAAAAACAGTTGGAATGCCCTGGACAAAACTTCTTCACCCTTTTTTTCTGAATTCTCTCCCGCTCTGAATGGATTCTTATACTGCACTCAGCCTGATAATAGCTGAGTATCTTCCAGCAACAAGTCCTATTTTAATGCACACATATCAGGTGCTGTTCATTTTGTCTTATTCTAGTCAGAAAGTACATGTAATAGAATGTGCTCATTTTAGTACAGAATTTTTAAGCCTAACGTTCTACATTTGTTAAGCGAAATTTATGAAAACTGTTAAGAAAATTGGAAAAAAAAAAAGGATTTTTGCACGCATCATCACAACCTGCGCTCTTGGAGCATCAGTCAGTCTTTACTATTCAAAAACCTTCACAAAATTACTTTAGGTACATTTAAAGTAAGAATCAAGGTTCTGAACTTGATATACATTTTCATGGAAGTCAGTATTGAAAAAACAGAAAATACATCTGCAGTAGGCTGGATTCCTGACAACAACCAACAGGACAGCTTTGTGCCAGTCAGAATTATTTAAGTTCAGAAGACTTCATAGTCATGTACTGAGACCAGATCAGAGTCTACTTGCTTTACATATAGACTCTTAACTTACTAGGTAAGGCATTATACGCCAATACCAAAGTACACTGTTATTGTAGGGTACCCAAAATAAAGAATATAGTGAAGTCAATGACTGCAACAAAACTCCGTAAGTTCTGCCTGATCTCTATAATCACCTCAGTATTTCAACTCAGCTTCAGACACCTACCTGCAAACTAGCCCCTGCTTAATTAAACCTCCATACAGAAAGGGTGATAGACAGTTAAATGTGTGCAATATCAACATAACATTATTTGAATCTGTTGTAAATCCAGATCCAAACACAAAAGAACCAATTTTAAGTGAAAAGTTTTGTTCGAAGTACATAAGTTGCTTGCCCTAAGTGTTTTCCTCAAGTCGTGGATTAAACCATTGCAAAGTTTTTTCCAGTTCCATCACTGCCTTCTAGTAAGTCAGCAGTACATCACAGCTGACAGTACTGATGATTCAGAGATTATACAAACAAAGGGATGCTGAATACCTGTCCTTCTCTTCAATAATACAAAACATCAATCCATCAAGACCACTTAATCAGCCTCAGTCCCATTATTTGTTTGGAATCCTGAGGATTCAGCCTGATTTCTACCAAGCATACCTATCGCCTCTTCCCCTTTATCAAGGTATGTCACTATGCTATCTTACAGCAGACATGTATACAAACAATCATAAAATTTGTTTGTTTGTTTTTAAATGCGAGCCAGCCACTGTTCAGAAGATAATGCCAGTAACATGCAGCCACCCAGCTCATTCTAGGTCACTATTACAATTGTTCTTACTTTTCATACACTTAGGTCTATTCTTTCATCCCATAATTGTGGGGCCAAGTTTCACCTTTAAGTTGCATACTTCTAAGTCATCAAACCCACACATTTCTGATGACTGTGACACCACAATTGTATGTGTACATTTAAAAGAATATTTTTAGCAAGAACATCAAAGGCAGAAGGCGTGTTAAACATGCTCATTTGTACTTCACAACACCCAACAGCACACATTTAAAGAACGAGAGCATGCTTTGTGTATTTCTGCTACAATGCCCCATACTTACTGCACAGCCATCATACTGGTTTCCATCGTGGAGTCCATCCTCCCTTCAGCTGCAATGTCAGAAACCAATCTGTCTGTGTCAGTGGGAATATCAGCTGCGCAGGCTCCACAAGCTTCTGAAGCTGCCGCTGAGTAGGTTGACGGAGAAAAATTACTACTTCTCAGTTTATTAACTTCTTCTTCAAGCTTTTTCTTCTCTTCAAGTAAGCGAGCTCGATCTTCAGAAAGTGTTTCAATCAAATCTATGACACAAGTAAATAAAAATTCTTTTAGTAACAGCAGCACTAAGGATCAAAAACAATCTGTAGCGAATGGAATTGTCCTATTAGAAAAGGTGAATACCTTTTCAGAATTTTGCTTACCCTTATCTTTTTCTTGCTGTTGTGTAAGCATTTTTAATTTGTCACTAAGATCATTAATTATGTTTTCTTTTTTCATTTTCTCTCTTGCCAGAACAGTGTTAAAGTTAGTCTGAAAACAGAAAGAAGTATTACTGAAAAAACAAATGTACTGTAACAATGTAAAGCAAAATACATTACTAGAACAAAAAAGTACAAAAAGGTATCAGGCATTTCAATTCCTAAATTATAACTAAACAAGGAATTAAATTTGTTTACATATTACTTTGGTGAAGAGATAATAAAATGTCTGTATATTTTGTTTTGAGGTTTCCCTGTAACAATTTTTTTCCTTTTTTTTTTTTTTTGATTTTTATCCCTCTGGTTTCCCCAAGCCCAATATACACATGTAGTATAATTATAAAGAAATCATCATTAAAAAATAGGAATTTGTAAGTTGTTTGTTTTTTTTTTTAAACACCATGCTTTATATTCCAGTTAATGTCAGACAGTTGCACATTTTATACTAAAAACAGTTACTTTAAGGATTAAAATGGTTATTAAGACAAAGCTGCACTGCATCAAGATGTTACATGTAACAAAAAAGAAAAATATCATTATTAATAAACTAGAATAATATACTAGAATCTGAATTAAAAATACATTTCAAGTTATGCACTCATTCCTCAGTGAACAATTAATCAGCTTGAATAACTGAACATAAAAGAGGGTCGCATATCCTTCGGTATCAGTCTGACTAAATCTTTCCGCTTCTTCAATCCTTCTACTAACCATTATGCCCTCACCCCTTCTACTCTTAAAGTTATGCTGAAGAGGCGGACAAAAACTAGAACCATCTATTAAAAGGATATTTTAAGTTACAATTTCACTTTTTTGGTGAATTTTAAGATTGTCTTGACCTATGCCTATCAACTCTCTGTCTTAAAATGCAAGCTATTTGGCAGGCTACACACCTTACATAGTGCATAGCGGCCTTTGGTATATGTCTGCATAACAAAACTATCACACACCACAAGCATAAGTAACACTTCTAAGACAAATTTACTGAGAAAAAAAAATTACATCAAAGGTGAGGGTAAATACCCAGAATATTCAGTGATCAGCACAGCCAGTCCAGTAAGCTTTCAGCACTGACTGATACACCATTTTTATGGGGGTTTTTTTTGTTTGTTTGTTTGGGGTTTTTTTGGTGTTTTTTTTTTTTTGTTTTTTTTTTTTTTTTTTAAATAAAAGGCTCCATCTTCCCTGGAATTTGCTGTTAATGCCTCAGAACCTTCCTTTCCACGCTGTGCTGCACAAAAGAAGATTACTATTAGATAATGAGGAAAATGGCATAGTAAAGCATATTCTGATGGAAAAACAAATCTTACCATTAACAATGTAATCTATGAAATATTCCTATTAGATTTCCTATGTAAGGCTCACCTCAGTATTAATGTTTGCAGTCCAAACATTTCAAAAATATTCCTTTCTTTATAACTGTCTGCGATTTTCTGCTCTCTGCACCAAGTGATTCATAGCGTTCATTCACCAAGCTGGCTTAGCGTTCATTCACTACACTGTCTCTTTGTCCTTATTTGATCCTACCATAGCTAAAGTAAGTAGAGGTGCTTAAAACAGAAAATCCTTTCTTAGCGTTTAAATGCAATCAAAGCCGTAGATAATAGCTGTTACTAACAGAGATTTAATTTAAGAATTGAAGACTCATCTACAAAATCTGAGAGATTCAAGATGTTTTGAAAGGAAAAAATGTGTGGATACAGATATAATTATTAATCCAGTGCAATATGATTTTGTATCAAGATGTGGAGTTCATAGCGTTTCTAAGTTTATTAAGTAAAAGATAACATTTGCTTTGAACCTCAAATGCCACCTGCCCAGGCTAATAAAGTTTAAAAGCCATTAAGTAGCACTCCAACTCAATTAGTATTTCAAATAATTAATTTTGTGTTGTTCACAAATTTTGTGTTGTTAACTTAAACGGTATCTTTCTGGAGTTCAACAGATTAATGGATAAAAATTTACAGCACTAGCTTAACAATTTAAGCAAAAGAAGTCACAAAATAACAAAAATTGAGTCTGGATTGCCCAGTTCACAGATAATTAAGGTGGGGTTTTTTGGGGGGGATTTTTTTTTTTTAATGCTTAAGTGGTGGATTCCATTCACAGATCATATCCTGGCTCCAGATAATAGCACAAATATAGAATGCGTAAGTTTTACATAGCAAAAAAATCCCTAACCAAGTCCATAACTTCAAAACAGCAAAAGAACACATAATTGTCATGGGAGCAAAAGTAATGAAGAATCAGCTTTACCTGCTGTTCTGCAGTAAGCGATGTTCTGATGTTCTGCATTTCTTCATTCTTTCTTTTCTCTTGTTCTTCAAGTTGCTCTAAGAACTTCATTTTTTCTTCCTGAAGCTTCTCTTGAAGTTCAGCAACCAAGCTTGATTCAGCAGATGATTCAGTGGGAGGACTTAAAAGAAAATGTTTTGGCTTTAAATTTGCAGCATATACAGAGTCCCAGCATACATGAAATAAGCAAACACACAAAAGTCAGAAGTTCCTTTTTGAAACATTCCAAAATATTTAATAAATACTGTATTCCAATTAAATCATTACTAATATTCAATTCTACTTTTTAATCATGAGCACCTCACCAAATTCTTACTCTTGGGCATCCTGTTTTTTAGTGTACTACACTGGCTCTAATTTTGAAATTTTGTTGAGGGGGGAGATTTTTGTTTTCATTTTTCTAACATAACAGAATGTGTGGAAAGTGGTAAAAAGAGGAACAATGACATATCAACTCCCTGAAGATTCTTAGTATGTCAAAATGCAAAGCCTCCAGAACTCTCACATAATTAAAGCAATTCAGCAATAAATCTGATGCTAAGGAATCCAGATATGAAACTCAAAACTCTGGGTTGCAGAATCTGGAGAACAGTAGCAATGATCATAAAGGAAGGAAAGCATCAACAGTCATCGAGGCAGGAAGGATAATGACCTTAAATGGCTCTTGAAACAGGCAATGTTACATAGGCCAAATATTTTCCATCACTGAACCCAAAGCATTAACTACCCTCTTCTGTGTTTTGGCTTGAGTTATCAAGAACCACCATTGAAGAACACTGGGATAGACAAATCCCTTTGTTGGGCAATTTTTGTGAAAAACTATTATTTTAAATTTCTATTATTCCTCTACACCAGAATCGTATTTAATATAAAGAAAATCCCCCAAACCTAACTCTACATCTACATACATGTGTCAATGGCTTTCTCTAGTCAGAGCAGCCTGGAGGTACGGTCTCCTGATGTTAGATAGGCTGTGCTGAAAACAAAACATCATGTGCTAATATACTAACACTCAAAAGCACAACTCCTAGTGCTAAAAATGCTCTAAGAATTCTTCTTGCTTCATAATGCAAAGCTTCTGTATTAAGACTAAGGGCTAGAGAACCTCAGAGACACCAGAAAGATTCAGCACAGATAATATGAAAGAAAACTGAATTGGAAAGAAGACAGCAGGGAACCTAAAATTCTGATTGCTGCATACGGGATAGAAGTTTGGGCATCCATGAAATGACCAGTTCCAGCCATTTCTACAGAGTCTTTGTTTTACCATATGATCCAGCACATACTCGCCTACCTCCATTCTGCCATCAATTCTCCCTATCAAGATAAGAAAGCATAGGATAAGTTTGTCTGCGAAGTGTAAAGAGGAGGTACACCTGCACCTTACTTTACAAGCAACCAAAATTCACTCATATAATTCCAAGTTATCTAAATGCCAAGTTAATACATCAGCCTAAACCCAAGGCTGTTAGCTGCACTAAACCAAAGCAGGTATCATCTGCCTCTCAGATAGGTTGCCTGGACTACTGACTGTTTGCAAATGACAGCCAAGTAAAGGATATTGTTATTCTGCAAAGGATGCTAACATACATTCCTAGTTTTTAAACCTTGTCACTATATCAAGTATTGAGTTTACACATTTAATCTGCAAAGGTCTCGACAACTATGACAACAGTGACAATGCCTAACTTTTTTTAGTGTTTTCAAGACACCAAAAGCACATTTCTTCAGAGATTGGGGTTCCTTTGCAGGTAAACACTGTAATGCTCTGCCCTAAGATAACAACACTACCCCTGTTCTACCACATGGGCATATACTGAAGATACAAACTATTATGCAGTAGCTAAGCACTCAAAAAGGCCATAAGAAATTGTAAATAAAAGAGCCCTGAAACCCAACGGAAGTTCTTAGAGTGGCAAAACAACCTTTGACATTCCAGAAATCAGAAGAAAAATAAGCAGAGAACAAAACAAGTCATGAGACGCCCAGGCAAATCTTTTTTATGCCATTGAGAAAGCATTTTTATGGTGGATTAAAATTCAATTTATTTCTAAATTAAGCCTAGCTGTGAGAGAGAGCACATGCTCTACAGAGAAGCTTCACTACTGATGGTGGTCTGATGGGAGCGGCTGGACAATACCAAGACTGGAAGACACCAAAGCTGTAATTCAGTTTTCAAAGCAGTCAGGATTCCTTTTCTATTTTTAACATTCTGTACAATGTTATAAATCTTTTAACTCACCAGCAAACTGCTCAACAATGAAAGTCATTACAGAAATTGTGTTTGTCAGTTAATCTTGGTTAGTACATACTACATACAGTAGAAAGATTAAATAGGAGAGTTACAAATGCCTTGCAGTTTTATTATCTTTCCTAATCATGATGACTTGAATTCCAGGCACATGATAACCAAAACACATTAGTTTTCATATGTTGGTGATGTGTGGGTCACAAACATTTCTTTGCGATTTCTAAATATTTTTGTTAGTTTTCATGTAAGTTCAAAAACTAAATTCCTGATATCAGTGCAACACTCAGGTCAAATTTAACAATTCACCTCCCTGTCCATGCCTTCTGGACGGCTAATGTAACATTGCTCTTGCAGAAAAGGACATTTATCTGACAAGCATATAGGCACATGCCAAATAAAAGCCGGTTTCTACCATTACAAGTTAACTGCTAAACGACGACTGAGTGAAGATAACAAGTCAACTCGAATTACTGACATATCTTGGGGTTTTAGGAACTCAAAAACCAAACAGCTAGACAGTGACTTTGAAATATTAAGACAGATAATATTAAGACATAACATATATGCCCCCTGGAGATAAAACACTGCATGTCTTTATTCCTAGAGAAAAAGCCTAACAGCAGATTAAAGGCATAAAGAGCAGCTTTAGGAGGCAATACATATCTTAACATCATACTGAAAATTAAATTGCTTGACAGAACTCATAACAAACTACTAACACGTCTTTAGACTGAAGCAGATAGTAATGTATTTCAAAGAAATATTATCTGGTTTATCCAGTTTGTATAAGAATACACAGAGTTGTTCTCAGAAGTTGTTTAAATTTAAGTGTAGATGGTGGATTTTTAAAAAGTCTGATGACACAGGTATAAATGAGTCAAGTAAACTTCTACAGTGCATTAATACATATAAAAGGAAAAGAACATAGGGTTTATGTTTTTCCTTCTCAATTCACCATATTTCATTAAGAGAATATTTTGTTCAGTTAAGAAGGGCAGTTCTTAATTTCTTTATATCCCAATCTTAATTCAAAAACCGTAATATTATCTTGACGTATTTTTTCATACACTGACATACAAAACACAGACACTGATACAACATCATTTAATGACGGATATGTTCACATATCAAAATCCTGAGCTAGTGGGACTGAAGTGGATGATTCAAGAGAAGCAGATATTCAGATTTCCCTTGCACTATGTAAATGAATTGTGTGCACATGTTGGACTCTCTGCGTAACCCTCTCCTTCCTTTTTTTTTTAAACATTACATTGATATTCTAAAGTTAAATGCTATCTTAAGTCTGTATTCATGTTCTGCAGTACTCTTCTGGTTTTTATGCCCATTCTGTCCAGTTTATTGGTCTTTTCCTATTCCACATACTTGGTATATCATAATACCCAGAAAAAAAATTTAGGTATTGTACAAACAAGATCTATCTGCTGCATTCCTTCGCACTACAAGAACGTAAGTGACAAATTCTAGCATTTCAAAATAGAATACTGTTTCTAAGCCATAGCCACATAGAAAAATTCTAGTATTTCCACTCCACAACATCATAGAATCATAGAATCATT